CCCGATACAATAGCCTGTATATACATATACATATATATTAAAGAAAGCATACACTCGCAACCTTAATTACGATTATATATTATTATAATTATATAATGATGACAATATTATTGCACACGATATATATATATATATATATATATATATATATATATATATATGATATATATATATATATATATGATATATATATATATGTATATGATATATATATATATATGATTATACGATACACTTATTTTACTATATTCTGCGCGCGTACGGACGTGTATTGTGTATCACTTACCTTGTCCTCGGATACGAGCAGACGCGATTGAGCTGCTGCTAAACTTCCCTGTCCATCTCGCGATTGTGCCAAAAAGAGTAACCGCCTTCGGGGCAGCCACCGCGACGCTTCACCGGTCGGTTCGAGAGGAGGGAAGTTGATCCTTACGGATTTATCACGCAAGCAACGCGCATGTCCAAAAGATGTCTCAAAGACATCTTTTGGACGTCTTATTGTTTGGAAGACGTTTTTAATGGATATTTTCAGGACGTCTTATCGGGGTTATCAACAATTCTTCGAATCCCGTGGAAACCGGGAACGCGGTCGAAGTTCCCGTTGTCGGTCGCCCTCTGTCCGCGATCGTCGGTGTTGATGTTCCCGGACGATGGCGCCGGGACGGACTCGATTCGAGGTGTTTTTAAAACGCCACGAGTGGCTCGGCAATGAGAAGCATTCGCGGCAGAGGGACACACGCGAGATAGATCGCATCTCCGTCGGGCGATCATTCGGCGAGAATCTTTGGGCGATCGAGCTGTTTCTTTTTATCCGGAGCTGTTCGCAGAAACAGCTTGTGCATCGAATCGCCTCTTTTTCATCCTTTTATTCGTAACCGCGGTCTCGAATCGGGAAAGCGTGTGCTGGGGAGAAGCGAGAATTTCCGGTCGTCGCGCCGTGGCTGCGAGGCGCGCGCGACACAGTAAAAAGTTTTATGCTAAATTGAAACACATTTCACATGTCCCGAATGGTCCACACACACACATACACATACACACACACGCGCGCGCGCGAATTTTCGTGTTAATATAACGCAAGGTGAATACGTTGAAGAGCGACGCAAATGTTACATGTGAAGGAATTAACGCAAAATTAATACCCGTAAAATAATGTTAATCGACAATGAGGAAAAATATAAAATGTGTTATCCTAACACTTGTGTTATTTTAACATTTACACATTTTATTTCGATACATCCGTTGAATATCGACTCGATGTAAAATATTGTGAAATAACAATACAAACACGATATGTTAACACACGGGAATGTTGGAGATTTTCACTCGCGAAAACAAGGACCGGCTTGGACACAAGTACAAAATCTTTTTTACTGTGAACGATTCAACGATAGCCGGGGGGGGGGGGACGACGAGTTGGGGGNGGGGCGAGCGGACCGGGTAGTTTAACGGCGACGTACCGGAGACCGGTAAGGCTAGAGATCGGTGCACCGGTCGATCGCACTCGGAGCAACGCGTTCAAACCACGAGGACGGACTCCGCGTACGACCGCGAGGGTAGACACCCCTTCTTCCTCGCCTTCCTCTGTTAATGTCGCGGGGGTAGAATCTGTGTCATTCGCGTGAGCTCCATAGGTTTCCAAATCCCCTCCTCGCTCATATCAATCGAGCGGCTCGAACGGATCCTCTTTCACGAGGACGCCCGGCGCGCGCGCGCGAGGCTCGTTTTTTCGTTTTTCGACGGTTCCTCTTTCGATTGTTACCGCCTCTTCGTTTTTTTACGGCGTATGCGATCACGGGAAAAAGTGATAACGAGAACGGAAATGTTTCCGGAAATTTACCCTCCTTTTGTGACACGCATAGTATCGTTGAGCAAGCGATGTATGCATGACAGGCGGCCGTCTCTAATTGGCATCACGACCACGTGGTACACGTGCTGAAATATATATATATATATAGATATACATACACTTACACACACACACACACACACACACACGCGACACACACGTTACATCGACTAATTATATACGTTCACCGGACATACTTAACGAATCGTTTAGTGACAGACTGACAGGCGGGCGATAGATAGCAGGGAAGGATAGACGGAAGAGAGAGAGAGAGAGAGAGAGAGAGAGTAGAAACAGGATTAATCAGAGGATCGATGAGGGAGGAGTTGGAGGACATGTTGGAGGATGTGAATGGCAACCGCACCAAGGAGAGACCAAACTCGCTTAATGACATATTTGTAATTACCTACTTGCTTTTTATTTATTTTAATTATTAATTAATTAGTTATCCTATTTATTGGCGCGGAGGCTGAGACGCATACATGCACACATACGTCCATACGGACACACACATACACAGATAGACAGACATACAGAGATATACACGCATCATTACATCGGCACGCATAATTTCCGGGATGACAGAGATCACGCAGGAATAATTACAGACGCGGACGCGCGGACGCGCATAGAATGTGCCCGAGTCACCGCCATCTCCGCGAACCGTTATCCCGACGAGATATAAAAAGGACAAAATTGTTGCGCTGGATCCTTCGATTGTTACTTAAACTCCCCAGTAAGCGAGAAATCATCAATACAACATTACTTGCAAATGTTATCTTGTAACATGTTACATTTTCAAATACGTGATTCTTAATGTTGTACACAACGCCCATTGTTAACGATATCCAAATGTTAAAAATAATATTTCTACACTATGATTTTGTAATATTTGGAAATATTATATTATCAAGCAACGGTTCGAAAACGGTTGATAAAATTCGTGTAAAACTCGTGTAAAATCGTCAATGTTTTTTGTTTACCGGGTCTGTTGTTCGAATGAAAGGCGAACCGAGAAAAGGCTCGATAGAAAGAGGAGAAGGTACAGCTGTGTGAGGAGGGAAGTTCGTTCCTCTTTCTCTCGCGTGCACCTCGCCGTTTTCTCCTCTGTGCGTCTTCTTCCTGTGTTCGGCGCGTTAGAGATCGATCGTCAGCGGAAAGTAATTTACGGGGGCGGGGGGAGGGGGGGGGAGGTTCGAAGAGTCGCACCCATCGACCTTTCGTTGGCGTTTCTGCCGCCGTGCGACTCGAACGATACGTTGCAATCTTTCGTCAGCAGCGCTTCTCCTTCGGTCGTCCGCGCGCATCGTCCATCGGCGGTGCAGCGGAGAACTTCCCTCTCGTTCTCGACCACGGATTACCGGTCTCGTCGTCGGTGCATGCACTTCCGAGCACGCGTGGCGGGTGGAAGGCCAGAAGCATTTGCTTGCGATTGTACTTGCATATTATTTATATAAGACAACAGTATTTTTCCCGTTGCAGACATTCGCGATTACACATGGTCGTACATGGGCAAATTTCACGTACGATCTCTTCTTCCCCCGGGGTAGAAGTATACGAAACGAATGTGCGCTCGTTATTCCGCGTATTACCAACATATTACGCGCATATGATTTTAGGCAACGGTTGAAGGGGCACAGTTTTCACTCTGGTGTGTTATACAAATGTCTGTGGTGGACACCGCCCTTTCGAGTCTCGCCCGTACGCGCTTTCGGATGAGAGGAAGCTCGGCGGAATCGCGCGAGAATGCCCGGCGAGTGCGTGTGTGCGTGCGGTGCGTGCGCTGCTTGTCTCTCGGCTCGACTCTCGGAAATTTCGTTTCCAACGCGCGCGACGTTTCTCGAGTTCGAGTATTTTGTACCTCCGACGAGGGAGACGCGAGCGATGATCGGGTCGCGAGTCAGATTCTTGAAGAGAGTGTGTGCGTGCGGTCCTCCCGGGTTTCGACCGGCGACGTGGGTGAAAATCTCGAGGGAGCGAGAATGCGACAGGATTGAGAGAACGGCGTCGCTCGTGCTTCCCGGAGAGACACGGCTGATCCTCGGACGCGCGGCTGTACTGCAATTTTCGCGACACAGCAAAATCAGCGAGGAAAAGGGAAAACAACACACATACACACACACGCGCGCGCGCGCGCGATCCCCCCCCCCCCCCNNNNCCCCCCCCCTCGATGTTTCACAGATGAACCGACAGACATCGTCTTTCTGCGCTCTTGGCTAAGTCTCGCGTTTTAATTTAATTTACGGCAATGATATTCAACGTGTTTTTTTTTTTCATAAGTAATTATTTTGTAATACTGTCTGTATATGTCATACGTATAATAATAATAATATTCCGTACGTTGTGGTGGCGTTGCTTGGTGGTGACTCTTTGGCGTTTAGCTCAGCGGCCGCTCTCGATCCTCTTTCGGCCGGCGCTTCTCTTCGGGAGGGTTCGCTTCGCCGCCGCGTCTCTTCGCTGAACCTCGGCAAACTTCCGGTCCGAATGATGAATTTATATACACGAATACGCTAATACGAGAGAGAGAGAGAGAGAGAGGGAGAGAGAAAGAGAGAGAGAGAGAAATAAAGGGTTTTGTAAATTCATAATCATGACGAGGTATTAATTTTTTCGGCAATTTGTTCGCCGTGTTCGCAACTCGCGATGCCGCGCGAATGCGCGCCGAGCGATCCGACGAGGATCCCGTGCGTTCGAAACAAGCGCACGTTTCGCCGCGGTCGGACGCGCGGACAATTTCAGTGGGCAGCGCACGAGTCGAGCGGAATGGGATTTAGCCTTCCGGGCGAGCCGCCAGCCGGAATGTTGAAGTGACGCGACGAGAATGGAGCGCACGTCGAACGGGTTTTCACCCTCTCGCGAAATCTCGTAACTCCCCGAGCGAGCAAGCAACGAGGCACGCGGGAGGCAATCACGACACAGAACGAGGCCGCTCTCAACCCGGGCATGTCGGATGACGAGTCGATCGACCGGCCGGAGAGAAACGTGAAGGTCTTCGTGCGGGTCCTACCGCTCGGGGAACCTCTCGCGTGCGATTCCTACATGAAGATCAGCGGGGATCGTAAGGTGTGAGTTCTCTCCCCGGAGGTCCGCGGATCTCTCCGGCGTTTACGCCGTATTTATACGTATTTTCGTCGAGCGAGAAAAATTCAGGAGAGATCCGAGTTCGAGTTGATCGCCCTCTCACGGTTTGTTTCTTTCTAACTTGACTCTGTGTGTTATTTCAGACGTTCTCCGTGCGACATCCGCAGGACGTGCGACGAGACCGGAAGTCAGCGGACTCGTGTCCCGTCTACTGGGCCTTCCCGACCGACGGGACATTTCACGAAGCGTCGCAGGACACGGTGTATCGCACTGTCGCGGGGGATCTTGTGGAAAAGTAGCGAAAAGTCAAATGAATAAAGAGATAGATATAAGTACGGCTGTAGAAATTACAATGAAAAGGACTGTTAGTATCTGGCCTGTGAGATCCGAACTTGCGTTAAAGCGTTACGATTCATTAATCTCTCGTACTTTACCAGGACCTTCTGGCAGGGTTGGGAAAGTTACTTTTGAAAAGTAACTCGCTACCGTTGCTCGTTATTCATTGAACGATGATGATTTATGAATGAGACATACGGTTTTAATTTTCTGCGGGAAGATAGAGACTGTTTTTCCATTTTTTCTATAAAAATTAAAGTTTAGTATGTATTTCTTGAGCTAAATGATAGTTTTATTATTATTTTCTGTTTCAACACATTGAACGAACGAACGTGCTGTTTCGTTCAATGAGCAACGTGTAACGATAACAAGTTACTTTTTAAGAGTAACTTTCCCAACCCTGCTTCTTGGTTGTAGATCTGCCTCAAAGATCTTTTGAAGAGGGAGAATCCTTCATTAACATTCCTTTTTGTTAAAATGAATGAAAAACTGACACATTTTAGAAAAGAGTGTCGGTTGGAGGAGGTAACATAAAATTGGCATTATTCTGTACTACGTTGACGATATAATTAATTATACTGGTCAATAGATAAATTGTATCCTGAATCTAAACCATCGATTCTAGTTAATTTTGTGACGATGATCGCAAAAAACATAAAAATTCAAGTCAAACTTAGCTCTAGTTTTTATCATATAGTAGTAAACAATTAAAATTGAATTTGATATTTAAGACTTTCGTGGAGGAAAAAGAATGTCTTCTTCAAAATCATCTCTTTTTTAAAGCTAATTTTTTACTTTGAGATGGTGTATGGCAATCTTGTAAGAGTTTACGAATAAGACACGCGTTTTAATTTTCTGTAGAAAGATAGAGACTATTTTTATTTTCTCACTGTAACATCCTTTATTTCGAGACTGTTTAAAAACGTTTAAATAGTATAATATTTAAGAGGAATATTAGTCTTCCTGACGGTATGAAACTTAAGAGAAGAAATTACAGTAAAAATATATTCTTTCGTTTTGTTTTCATACTTTTTATATTAATAGTTTATAAAAGTTAAAATATAATCGATATTTCTCGAACTATAGCTAAATGACATTTTTATCGTCATTTTCTGTTCCAGCACAAAAATACATACATATGAAAAATTAAAAAGAAGATAAAAAAGATTAAAAAGAAACAAATTTAAAAAAGGATACAATTTATGATGCGAAATTTGTTGGTCAATGTTATTGAAGAACCTTGCTTCCCGACAGGACGATAACGAACTTACGTTATCCTGTATATTTTGATAACTTCACAACATGAGAATCGTTCGCGTTAATTAGACAATAATGAATAGTCGAGCAGCAATCGTCAATATCGCCGACGAAGTAAGAGATGCGCGTTGCGCGTCACTCGTAAAATCGATAAAACGGGACCGACTACACACGTGTAATAAGGCGTAATGCGGAAATGATTGAAGGGTTTTAGACGGCGTGAATTGCGTGCTGATCAGCCACGGCCAAACCGGGTCCGGAAAGAGTTATACGATCAGCGGCCTCAGGAACGATACGGTATGCTTCCTCGGGATATCCTGTTTTCGAATTTCTGTCATCCCTGATGTGGCTGATCGTTTGGTCTAATTAGCTCATTAACCCTCGCTCGCCTGCCGATCGCAGCATAGAGGGATAGTCGCGCGGCTCCTGTCCGATATGTTCGCGGCGAAGGCGAATCGACGGAAGGTCAGCGACATACGTTACCGCCTAAGCTTCGTCGAGTTGACAAGTAGAAACGTGATCGACCTCCTAACTGCGCGAAGGCCTAAGGTCAATGTCAAGAACGTGAACGACGTCTTCGAGGTATCGAGTCGATGCGAAAGCCGCCTCCGGTAGAGAGACGCGACGACGAGAATCGGCGCAGTTGTGATTCCAGAACGTCATCGCGGTGGACGTGCAGAACGAGCCGCAGGCCTTGAAGAGACTATTCGAGGGAGAAGCTAGGAGATCGATCGTGATGGCCGCAACGTATCCGGTATCGCACTTGGCCGCTGCCGTGATCACCTTTCACGCGTCGAACACGAGCTTGATCATGTCGCGGGCCGTCGTAGCGACGGCGAAAGTAAATCGACGGACTTCGCTCGGATGGGAATATTTTATTGATAATATAATGGAAATTTGCTGAAATCTGTTCGGAAATCTCTCTCTCAATCGACCCCGTTTCATTATCACTTCGGTGAATCAAAGTTTCAGTAAAAACATTACTTCGGTCGATACCTCAGCGATTTCCCTTTAAAAAATCACGCAGTTTCCAGTTATGTCCGATACATTTTACGATGTGATATTCTAACATTTCAGAAATTTTTTCATTACTTTTCAACAATATAACTTTCCTTATATTTCACAGTATTACATTGCATTTCATAAAGAAAGTTATGATTCACTTATGTATATATATATTCGGTATTTCTTCAATAACCTTTATTTCACTTTACGTCGATTTCATAGTACTTTCAGCAAAATATTTCCATTTCAGGGCGGTTCTCGGCCGAAGCCCGCTTCCGGAATTTCCAAAGAAAATCAATCCATCACATGCTGAATTATTCAGGATACTTGTGTATCTAGAATAATCCCTCCATTAGCGAATTCGATCACTCGCGCTACATCGGATTGCTGCTGAAAACATGCATGTTGAAAGCTGTTACATATGAAGCAGTTATTTACATAAAAAAGTATACAAGTATATGGAACGATTAAGTACTTAACAACAATGTTATCACGTTTTTTTAGCAGAATACATGCTAATTATTTCATTGTCGAAGTGCTTACGTTGTGCCATTGTATTTAGATGTTTTATGTGCAGACCTTTAATAATAATAATGATAATAATAATGACTTTATCGAGCATTATCCGGTGTAGAGATCGAATTCGTTATACTGTATGCAAATATTTGAAATATATTTACTAGAAATTTCTCATTACGAGCCCCGATGTTAGATACACGTTGTAGAAATGGCTGGGATCGGCACGGTGGGGAAATCGAGTTGCTCGAAACCGGCGAGTGACGTGGGTATGGCGAATTTAATGAAAAGCCAGTTAGAACAGTACTTCTTGTATCTTCGAGAACCGAGTGTCTCAATATACGGCGTCGCTCGTCGCTCGAACCTTTCGAGATTGCTGAAGAACGAATTCACCGTCACCTCCGTCATTCGGTAACTACAGAGAAGATATTCTGAGATAAATTGATATAATTTCCATCGTTTGGATATAGCACATGGAATGAACCTCAGTTCCTGCAACTGAATAAACCAGTATCGAAGGAAAATTCGACGGTGAGAAATGATCTCTTACCGCGCCTGAGAATATTCGTGTATGAATATTCAGTTAAAATTCAGTCGAGACAACTCGGAGTAACTGATCGAGTAAGAGGAATCTCCTGCGGACATTTTTTCCGTTTTCACAAACAAGTTTTCCCGTCTGGTCCCCAACGCGACAGAAAATTCAGTTTATTAATGGAATTGTTTTTACCGTGCACGGGAAAAGGTTTCAGTTCCTATAACCGAATGGAAACCAGATGAAAACTTGGCGACATCTTTGTAAACGTGACTGAGAACATTCGTGTGAACATTCAGCTGTATTAAATTTCGATTGGGACAATTCATAGCAATTAATTGACAAGAAAACCCATGGAAATGTCCCATTTCCATTTTCGTAAGCTCGTAATAAATATTGAAATCTAAACTTAAGTAAGGAATACTTTTTTCTATGCGTATCGATACGTACTTTTAATGTGTGAAAGCCATTTTCGAAAGAAATCATTTTCGAAGCGAATATCATCGAAATTTTAAGGAAAAGAGAGAAATTACAGAAAAATACCTTTAATGAAAATCGAATGGTTTTAAAAATACTTTGCAAAGGTTATCCCAGATTTTCTTTTCAGAAAAAATGTTACAACTTCTTACATACCTTTATCACTGATTTCTTTTTTCCCGTAATCTTTTTTCTCGTAATTTTAACAACTTTTCTCGACCAAATAAAAGGGTATTTTATACTAAATCTAATAATATATAACATATTTCAAGATAGGGACAGCAAATCGGAAAATAGATGGAAAGATTTCCAAACGCAGGACGCACCAAACGGAGAAAGAACCGATAGTTTTCAAGAAGTGTTTCACCCCTAAAAGTTTATAAGCACATGTAAAAAAAAAGCTTCCCTGTTTTAATTTAGATTTCAATATATTACAAGACTATTGAATCGTAGGATTCCCTTGTAGATAGACTTCCTACAGGAATCTTTCTGTTCTTACAATCGAGTTTTCGTTAGGTCCCTAAACAACGGCGAATCATTTACCCTAAAGGAATTGTTCTTCCCGCGCGATGAATAATTTTTACGCAATCGTAAGCGAAACAGAGCGAAATTTGAGTATTAAGCAATATCACCGTGTCGCCGATGCGTCTCCTATCTACGAAAAATCGCGCGACGCGTCATCGTACGATCGTTAATTGAAAGCGGACACATCTTCACTCGTTAGTTTCATATCTCACGTGCGCGTCACAAAGGAAGATCTCGCCGTCACTTTGTCGACCATGCGACTGACCATGAAAATCGCAAGACTGAGGCCGATCAGGACGACACGGCACGTTCGGCCGCAGGCAGAGCTGACCCTGCAACGGCTGCGGGAGGAGGTGAACGCGCTGAGGAAGGAGCTGCGATTGAACGATATGTTCCTTCGTCAAGAGGCGTTGGCGAACATCTCAAGGACGAGGGCCGAGCAGATCGGTCGGGACGCTATGAACTTCCTGAAGGGCTCCATCTCCGAACTGACGCTCTTCAACGTCACGCAGGCGCGGATATTGATGAAAATCGTCAAGCAGCTGTACAACAAGTTCGCATCCGCGAAATGTTTTCTATTCAAATATTCTTGCGATTCCGCGTTTTTCGGACATTTTATCCGATACTCGTCGAATCGCCACCATTGTAACTTCCTGATAAGCACAGTGTCTCAATTAGCAGTAAGAAACGAATTAAATTGACAATGAAAAACGCAAGATGAAAAGGTGCTGACGCTTTCGGTGTGTCTTGAACGTCTCAGATTAGTCGCGAAAGGTGACGAAGAGAAGTTGAGCGAAGCGTACGAAGATGTGATGAACTCGTTGATGCCGGCGGACGCTACTTTGCCTCCTGCGACATCATCACAAGTACCTGAACTACATAGTGATACATGTAGTTTAATTGACCCTTCGACCGCACACTTCTGAAAAGTCGCTCGATAAAGTGATTCTGTAACGATTGTTTGGAAAGGAGCGGGGAAGATTCACAGATCACGCTTTTCCCTTCGCTCTATAGCTTTTCAAACACAATTCACTGGATCTAGCTGGCCAATAAAACGGTCGAAGGGTTAAGACTCCTGGTCTCTCGCTGTGGTCGTCTTGTTTGATGACGTCAGAAACGAGGAAACGCATAAAACAATCATACATTTATTCGCTAGATCGAATTGTGCCGAATTGCAAATTCTGGATGATTACAGATAGCCAAAGAAATTGATTCGGATGACGTTTTCAACAGAGGCGAAAATTTAACGTCGGAAATGTCAAGAGGCACCGACGACAAAAAGACAGCGGAGCAAGTAGGAATATTAATTAAACACGGCATCTCGTTAGGGCCCGTTCTGCAAACGGACAGCATGGCGTTAGGATTAAAATATCCGGCAGCGCCGAAACTGTTTGCGGATAATGACGAGATGCAAATGACGACCGAACTTACACATGAATGCGTGGATAAGGCGAAAATATTGTAATAACGTTGTATTAACGATTTCTTGCTTACTGGGCATAATATACAACATATTTTTTTTGTAGAGAGTCATAAATTCCAGTATCAATCATTACAACTAATCACTGCTAATATTAATCACTTGATATGAAGCATTATTGAATATATAATATATATATAATATAATATATGTAACATATATATAATATTATATATAATATTATATATATATATATATATATA